CGATGTCTGTAGGTTTACTTTCTTCTTAGAATTCTAAGAAGAAAGTAAACCTACAGACATCGGTCTTGTTTAACAAAATCTGCATATAACTCAATGTAAACAAAAAAAAAATTGGCAAGTCAAACTTATTTATAACAATTATTATAATGGCAATTTTCAGGGTATTAAGTCTGCAAGGAAAAAAGAAATAAAATGATCAAATGATATCCCTGAAAATTTGTTTTACTCCCAATTTTCCTTCAAAAGAATAATAACTACCCATGTTTGGTTAAGAAAAGTTCGTTCGTTCGAAAGATTCTATCATGATTGGTTAAGAAAAACTCGTTGAAAAGAAACATGCTATTATCATTGGTTGAGAAAAGTCCGTTCATAAGAAACAATTCATCATCATTGGTTAAGAAAATTTTGTTCATACGAAACATTCTACCATGATTGGTTAAGAAAACTTCGTTTATACAAAACATTAAATAAAGCTCGTTGATTCGAAATATTTTAACAAGTTACATATAACATCCTCTCCTGGAAAAGCTATATATATATATATATATAATGTTCATGGCTCAGAATTATTATAATAATTTTTGTAGTTTTATTTATAAGGACATTTTTAAAATTCAGATATTTTATCTACTGCTGCTAATAATGGAGTTTCTTGTCACAACAAAATTCACAAAACAAACTTTGAAGAAAGTAAATTTAAGATTAAAAGAAATACAGAACAAACTTCTTACTGAATTCAAGCTGTTGGAATTCTTAACTTGTTACCCACTGGATTACCACCATTATAATAAATCCAATCAATAATGCTAACAGCTGTAGCAGACTGCGAAGAGGGGAATTTTTCTCCCTTTGAAGGATCTCGAAAAATGTTACGTACACCAATGTTCCGGTTGCAAGACCATTCAAAGTACCTACGACTAGGTCTGGCGATCTTTGCAGTGAACTTTCCGTAACTATAGCAACAAGCATACCCAGTGGAGACATTGTTGCAAAAACCGCCATATAAACAAGAACTGTTATAGTGTGTGTTCCGTCCGAGTACAATTCTAGTCCTACGATAAAGGAAATGACGAATTTGTGCATGGCAACGGCGATAAACAACATCCACGTTTCTTTCACATTGTCCTGAAGCCCCACGGCGAAGCCTTCGAAAACTGAATGAACTGAAAGTGCCAAAATTATGATGAAACCCCGAAAAAAAAATTTGGGAGAAGTCGGATAGGAAGATAGTCCCACAGTTTGAAGCGTTGATCTGTCAGTACCGCTGTCAGGCCGATTTCTATCGGTGAGCAATAGCCCTTGATGCGGGCTGTCCCGGCCTAACCCGTTCTCGGTTGGGCGACTGTTTCCCAATGCTGCAAATAACACCTCTTCTAGAATATAGACCGCTAGAAAACCTAAACATACGATTAATTCTGGAATTGGAAAATGATAACTGCTGCTATTTTCTCGGAGCCAGTGTTGTTCAAAGCTGGCACGAACTTCGGGAAGCAAGTGAACAAAACACGTTTCTAACAACACGCCACCTCCGACACACAGCAGGAAAGATATTACCGACCGGCCCGTGACTTGTAGCCCTTGCGTTGTATTCGTCTGTTTAAACCACTTAACCAATAGAATAGGCAGAGTTCCACAAGTAAAGGTTCCAAGTAATAGCAAACACAAAGTCAACACTCTTATCTCGAGAAGCGACATAATTATATGAACCAGATTCGTCTACCAAGAACAAACTTCGATATAACTCGCTCGACATGTGACACCAACTTAGCGCCATCTAGTGCTTAAGATACAATGTATTGCATTTAATTATTGTTAATTAGCTAATCACGTATCGAATACTAGTAATTAATAATTTAGTTTCCAAAAAAACAACCAATCACGTAAGTTACATTTGTTCTATGTTTTCTGGTAGAAAATTAGAATAACTACAACGTACATTTTTCGTATTTAAAAATGTTACAATAACTTAGGGCCTAGAAAACACAGTTTAACATTTTCTTTGATTGCCTAACACCAGCCATCTTTCCCAAGTTCAGATCATATCTGATTTAAATAAAGAGTGATTTTATGTTGATCTCTGTCTTTAGTTCTAGAGGTGTTTAGCTCCGATGTTCCTCGATAATATGGATTATAGAAAGTAAACGTTTTCAGCGTTACTTTAAAATCTGAAATAGCTTTTATGTGAGCTATTTCGAAGTTAAGTAAATATTTTCAGCGTTACTTGAAAATCTGAAATAGCTTTTATGTGAGCTATTTCGAAGTTAAGTAAATATTCTCAGCATTACTTTAAAATCTGAAATAGCTTTTATGTGAGCTATTTCGAAGTTAAGTAAATATTCTCAGCATTACTTTAAAATCTGAAATAGCTTTTATGTGAGCTATTTCGAAGTTAAGTAAATATTTTCAGCATTGCTTTAAAATCTGAAATAGCTTTTATGTGAGCTATTTTGAAGTATAATACATATTCTATATTTCAATATTATCCAGAAGTTAGGTTTTGAAAGTGGATTGTATTTATATTCAGATTAAATACGTGTTATTATTATTTTGTTATATCATGATGTATCCAGAATAATAGTTCTCAAAGTTTTCTTCATGGACCCCTTTAGAAACCAAATACAATCTCGCAGACCCCCCTACTACTCCTTCACGAACTAAATACAATCTCGTAGACCCCCCTACTTCCCCTTCACTAGCCAAAGACAATCTCGCAGACCCCCGCCCCCTTACTACTCCTTCACAAACCAAAGATAACCTCGCAGGTCCCTCTACTACCAGTTCACGAACCAAAGACGATATCTCGGACTCCAAACTACTCTTCACAATATTTTGGACCGCTTTACTACTCTTCACGAACCAAAGACAAGCTCTCATATTCCCTCCCAACTATCCGTACATAAAGCAAAGGCAATCTCATGAACCCTCACAATGAAATAGGCCGGAAGCTGACCGTACAGTGTGTTTACGTTGGCGGATCTTCTCGACAATGATCTCGAACTTCGGACTTTCCTTGTGTTGGTTATTAACATGTTTTCATGCATCAGTTCAATCTGAAAGAAATAAGTCTAGAAGATTTTGGATTTATAAACGATTTTAAGCGCATTCGCCTAATGCTAAATTGTTTTAGTGATTAGATTCATAGTATCTGAAGTGATTAGATTCATAGGTAATTGTCTTTAATCACAATGGAAATCGTCAGAATTATATGGTGAGAACAGAACGTTTTGACAAAAATCGTATCTGTTAGCCAGGTGTTATTACTAGCATTCTTCGTGTTTCTATGTATAAAGGCAGTGTTATGTTATCACCTGGCCAACAAACGTATATATCTATCTATTCTGTACGTATTTTCCCTCTAGGTAACGGTTTTAGAACTGAGAGTGGCAACTACATTAGTAATCTCTGAAGTCCACTGGATTTATTAGTTAATAGTTTGTCTTGATTTCTATGTTCTGCATGAACTCAGCAGTTTTGGTACGTTGTCTCCAACTGCTTCACACCAGGGAAAAGATTATAAAATTCATACAAATTCAAATTGGTCCTAATGATCAAGCAGGCGTTAAGTAAACGACGGAAATCCTTACTTATATAGGAAATATGTATTATAATAATGCTTGGTTTTAATTTGTCCTGAAAATGCACGCACAGCTTCCTATCGAAATGTGCATGCGTGCACACTTTGTTTCAACGGATGTAAACAGAAGGCGGATGTAAATATACTTTAAGAGACATTTTGTACAACAATATATTCAAATCGTATCAAAGTTTTTAAAAAGGTCTAACGTTAGGTCATAAGTTTATTTGTTGATAGTATTAAATACGGTAAAGTTTAGCCTTAACTAAACTAAAGCCAAAACGTACATAAGTTACAGTGTTAATTTATCTTTTTATTGAATACAGGCCGTATACTTAATAAAGACTTAACTAATGTTAGTCCTAAGTCAAGTGTATATTTTGATGTCTGCGATTAGAATTATTTTACATTATTCTAGAAATCCTATATTTAGTCCAACATTCGCGATTCCAACATGACCACAAAAATGGTGAAAAACACAGCAAAATGGGAAAGTCCAACATTCTCCTAACTAATTAGATGTTAACAGAGTCTAACTTACTATAGAGCAGCATTGTTAGCCACTAGGGTCCATTTTAATGTAACTACTGCCTTAAACTATGAATCGCATGCTGTGTCAATGGGACAAACTTTGGACCCTCGGTTCGGCACGATAACCACTAGGTTACACTCAGCCCGTGCCAGAGGTTCATGAATATGTTGACCAATAACTAAGATATTTGGTATTTTTTATGCAACTAAGATATTTTAATAAATATTATTATTCAGACTTTGTACTTGAATTACCGTTGTAAACCCCCCCCCCCCTTTCAAGTTACCTCCCGGTAATCTGAATTCGATTTCATATTACTCTCGGGGGTAGCTTGAACCCGATTTCATATTATCCCTGCACTGTTCAGATTACCCCCCGCGCTGTTTTAGCTAAAATGATAAATAGATTGCTAATTCACATGAATATAAGCATTTATGGCTAATGGGTGTCTCAAAAAAATAATACAGGTATTTACCATAACACTTATTTAATGTGCAAGATTTGCATGTTTCATATGTAGTTGATGTAATTCTGATCTACAGAGAAAGATAACTTATCGTACATAATGACAGTTTAATGATAAATATTATTAATATTATTTGTTGTTGTCA